CTGACGTTTCGGGCCTAGACCCTTCAGCCTTCCTGCTCCTCTGATGCTGCTTGGCCTGCTGTGTTCATCCAGCTCTACAATCTACTATAAAACTGTACTTTGGATTCCACTGCCGCCTCGAACTGTCACTGCAGATGCTCAATAAAGAGGCCACTTTTGCCACTCACTGATCTCGGTTGCTGTGGAACTCAATCCCACATCAGCAACTGTCATTGAGAGTCATGTGGCCAGGAGCAACCAATTAGGTGTTAGGAAGGTGTTAAACAGAGTCTCAGTGAGAGATATTAGTAAGGTGATGTACCTTACTTACTGTAATTTGGAGAAGTCACATATTTCTGGGAACCACTGAAGGAAAGGCAAAATGTAACTGCAATGGATATGATAATAGGGTAAAGATATTTCAAATTTAACCTTAGAAGCATAGAATCCCTACAGTGGGGAAGCAGGCCATTCAGCCCATCGAGTCTGAAGAGTATCCCACATTGACACATTACCCCCATCCCATCCCTGTAATCCTGCATTTCCCATGGCTAATCCACCTAGCATGCACATCTCTGGATGCTATGGGCAATTTAGCATAGCCAATCTACCTAATCTAGTCATCTCTGGACTGTGGGAGGAAAATGGTGCACCCGACGGAAACCCATGCAGAGAGAAAGTACAAACTCCACAGAGACAGCCGTCTGAGGGTGGAATCGAACCCTGGTGCTGTGAAGCAGCTGTGCTAACCACTGAGCCAGCCATATTCCTTGGGAAATATAACCACTGAGGTGGGAGTTGCAGGAAGCAAGTATTGTTCGAGCTATTCAACAAAAGTTGAGTTCATAAAACCACTATGGAACCAATATGATGGAATCTTATAGAGGTCTGAGTGACATGGCCACGGTGAGATTTGTGGCAGAATTGAATGAGGCATTGGTAGTGCGGCCCACCTCAACATCAGGAGTATGTTGTTCTATTTTAAATACTTTTCACAAATTGGGAGGTGAGTTTCTTGGTAGGTAGAGGGAGTTGCCAACGAAAGCAGACCATGGCTTATCAAATGCCTTGTTAACATCACAACTCGCCACTCTTTCTGTTCATAGCATGCAGACATCATTGGCTTGGCCAGCAATTATTGCCTATCCATAATTGCCATTTGATGCGACTGGCTTGCTAGGGCCATTTCAGGTAAGAGTGAGCATTGTTGTTAGTGTGGAGACACATGTTGGCCAGACCTAGTAAGTACAGCAGATTTCCTTCCCTAAAGGGCACGAGTGAACCAAATGAGTTTTTACAACAATCAACAATGGTTATATGATTGCTATTAGGATAAATTTCAATTCCAGATTTTCATTGATTCAAATTTCACTACTCATATCCCCAGAACATTTGCCAGGTATTCCAGATTACTAAAGAAAGAAAATCCAAGAATTGTGGATGCTAAAAATCAGAAACATTACCCTCCCCTTCTTTAGTATATACCAATGTTTCCCAAGCTAAAATAAGATCTGAAGAAGGGTTATTAGATTTGAAATGTTAACTCTGCTTTCTCTCCACAGATGCTGCCAGACTGGCTGAGTTATTCTGGATTAGTAGTCTGGTAATAATAGCAATACGTCACAACCTTCCACATTATTATTCAGTTTCCTATTTTACAAAATATACCAAACAAGCTAGACATTGAGAAAACTTGTATCATATGTTAATAGTTTAGTTTATTAATTTTTATTCTTCATTTCTTTTGTGTAGTAAACTTCTTTTCATTATTAAAACTGAATCTACAGCATTGCATGCTTGTATTTCAATTAAATCCCATCTCGTTAAAACAAAAACAAAAACAAAATATGATCGATCAAGCTAGATTTCAATCTGGGATCTGACTTCTCCAGTAGTAACTTCACCTGGGATCATAACCGTATGATATGTATGACAATCTTTTTTATTATCTATCTACTTGCACTTGTTAATTGTTTTCTTATGAGTGCATCATAAAAGTCTTAGTCACAGATTTATTTAACCTATTACATTTTGCATGTCAGGTCAACTTACTCCCTCTCAGAAGTCTCCATATTCAGATTGTCATGGCCATAAGGGATGTCTAAAATTTACTGCTGCTGATTTAAGATATTTTGTGGGATAATAGCGGTTTCAACTTAATTATCACTGTGCAAAAGTCACCATGAAGTACATTTATATTATTGTAAGTAATTGATGCATAGCAGTATTGTGCTAGGGTTTAAGATACTGAAGGTTTGCTGCAGCAAATCATCAAAACACATCACATATCAAACAAATTGGAATTTGATAATTTGTGTTTCAATTGCATCTACAGAGCACCAATGTGAACGGAATAATTCAGTGCTGGAAACAGAGGCAGTTATTGTGTTAAGGATGGGGACAGATCGACCTGATGTTGACTACTCTGTAAGTAGGTTGCCTGACGGACAACATTAACAACATTCTTACTATGGGAAGAAAATTTGCAAACAGGCAAACAAAAATCAATGCATAAAACACTTACTCATTGAATACCAAGTCTGGTGCAAAGTAAAGCATTGTGCCTCTGGTATGCTTGTATGATCTCCAGCTAAGGCTAAATGTCATTAAGCACATCCAAGAATACCGGAGTAGAGTCATTTGGTCATCAAGTGCCATTGTTCTGAATCCTGAAAAACAGAATATGACAGTCATAAACAGTTCGCAAAACAATTTTCTATCCATAATTGTCATTTTTCTGTTTGATTTTATATTTCATATTCCATTTAGTTTCACTACACTACACACTTACTCCCTCTCAGAAGTCTCCATATTCAGATCTTTACTGCCATTTAGCTCCATTCCCACTACAGAGCCTGATTCTGACTCTGATTAATAAAGCTATCAAAGCAATGACAAGTATGGCTTTATTTCTGCTACAGAACATATTAAGTAATAACACTGAATGATTTTCATCTCCTCGTACCTAGCTTGATTTAGACAAGCAAAGTTACTGACAGAAGCAGGGAGCTTGTTATTCCTATGATAGCTGTACAGATAGATTGCATGTTTTAAAATAAATCATTCTCCTTAATCTCGCCACCTGTCCATAAGGAGACTGTTCTGAGAGATATAAATGTATCAATTTTCATGGTTTTATAAATGGAATCTAAAAGTCCAAAGTTGGAGTTATGGGTCTTGAATGCCTTTTTATGGATGACTTGATAGTCTAGCAGTTGAAGAGTTGGAGGCTATTTCATTACTTTACAAACTTCCTCCAAAAGACTTCTAAGGACATTCTTCTGAAATAGGGATTCTACTTCACTATTTTGATGTAAGGAGGATTTTACTTGCAACATACAAGTTGGGGGAAGCTTTCAAAGACCAGAGGCATTTTTATTCTGTAGATTGGAGTCAAGGGTGTTGGTTTTGCAATTGCAACAGTATTGAACCCTTAATTATCTGGTAATTCAAAACTGTACAATCAAATGACAGTTGGTTGCGATAATTTGAGAGTCATGTGACCTAGCCTCCTTAGACAGCAGCAGCAGTTATCATCAAGGCCAAAATTTATACTGCAGATAGGCCACTGTCTATGGCCCATCCCAGAGGTTAAGTTGAAAGTCATTAACGTATCTTGCAGAATTGGTGTAATTTGTAATTCTATTGTGTAAGGATTTTTCTTGGAGATGATTATCTATGTAGTACACGATAACACAGTTGTTAGTATTCTAAATCCTTCAGGCAATATCTGAGTGTTCATTGTCCTGCTGACATTGGCTGTGGAGAAGTCTCCAGAAGGATATTGCTGAGTCAATCACATGATTATAGTAGTCATATTTGTTCAACTGTTTCTTGTCTTTTTAAAAGTTATATTTGGATACATATTAAAATTTGGCTTTTACCCTTTTTGTGATAACTTGTGCCCTCTGGAAAAAAACTGAAGTAAACTTCATATTTCTATGTGTTCCAATAACAAGCAGTAAAGAGGTATTCCTTCATTCTCTTACTCATTTATGAGGAATCAAAACACATTTGTTTATTTGAAGCAATCTAATATTTGGTATTTTGATAACATGATTTTTGGGTGATGGATAACAGTTGTTTTGGTTTCATGCTTTTGTGGAGATATGTAGGTCCCTTCTTTCTATTGGGAATCTGATCTGCAGTGCTCAGGCTGATGTAGGTTGTAGGTTGGGGAGTTCTATGTTTAAGTCAGAGGTAGATACACTCGAACTGTACAGGCAGCAATTTTCAGGTTGTAGAACCTTAGGAGAGTTAACTTTTCTTGTCCTACGGTTTTGCATAGCGGTCTGCTGAAATATCCCCTTTATCAGTTAGAACTCTACTGCCCTCAAGTGACTGTCTAGCCCCTGCTGTTCTGCACTGAGGCTTTTTGACTGGGTAAGACATATCCATCACTATCAGCTTGGATTTGTTAAAGAGATTTGACTGCTGTACTAGACATTGGAGAAACCAGATTTGGAACACTATGTACAATTTTAGTTGCCGTGCTATAGGAAAGATGTTATTAAACTGGAAAGGATGCAAAAAAGATTTACAAGGATGTTACCAAGACTGAAGGATTTGAGTTATAAGAAGAGGCTGGACAGGCTGGGACTTTATTCCCTCGAGTTTAGGAGGCTGAGGCATGACCTTATAGAATAAAATCATGAGGGGCATAGATAAGGTGAATAGACAAAATCTTTTCCCCAGAGTAAGGGAGTCCAAAACTTGAGGGCATAAGCTTAAGGTGAGAGGGGAAAGATTTAAAAGGGACCTTGGGGCAATTTTTTCACACAGAGGGTGGTGTGTATATGGAATGAGCTGCCATAGGAAGTGGTGGAGGTAGGTACAATTACAACATTTAAAAGACATTTGCATAGGTACATGGTTAGGAAAGGTTTAGAAAAGTCTCGGCCAAATGAAGACAAATGGGGCTAGTACAATTTAGGAAACCAGGTCAGCATGGATTATTTGGGCTGAAGGGTCTGTTTCCGTGCCGTATGACTCTCAGACTCTACGATTCATTGGTTAATGGAGATGTGAGCTCCTCCTTGTGCTCATCTATTGTTCTTTCAGTAAGCTGGTAAAATGGATACAGAACCGGCTTGGTCATAGCAGACAGAATGTAGTGGTGGAAGGATGTTTTTCTGACTGGAGGTCTGTGACTAGTGGTGTTTCACAGGGATCAGTGCTAGGACCCCGAGACGAGAATACAGATGATCTGATTAGTAAGTATGCGGATGACACAAAGATTGGGGGAGCTGCCAATAATGAGGAGTATTGCCAGAGGATACAGCAGGATATAGACAGACTGGAGACTTGAAGAAATGACAAATGGAATTTAATCCAGACAAATAGGAGATGATGCATTTTGGAAGGTCTCATGCAGGAGGGAGGTATAGGTAAATGGCAGAACTCTTAGAAGTATTAACATACAAAGGAATCCAGGAGTACTAGTCCACAGTTTCCTGAAAGTGGCAACACAAGTGGGTAAGGTGGTCAAGAAGGTTTATACTATGCGTGTGTTATTCAGCATAGATGTATAAAAACTGGCAAGACATGTCGCAACTGCACAGAACTTTAGTTTGGCTACATTTGGAATATTGTGTGCCACACTACCAGAAGGATGTGGAGATTTTGGAGAGGGTACAGAAAAGGTTTACCAAGATACTGCCTTATTTGGAACATATTAGCTATGAGGAGAGATTGGTCAACTTGGCTTGTTTACACATAAATGTTGGAGACTGAGGGACAACCTGGTAGAGGTGTACAAAATTATGAAAGGCATGGATAAAATGGATAATCTGAGTCTATTTCCCAGGGCAGAAATGTCAATTACTAGGGAACATGGGTTTAAGGCAAAAGGAAAAGTTTAAAGGAGATCTGAGAGGCAAGTTTTGCTTTTACACAGAGGGTGGTAAGTGCCTGGAATGTGCTGCTAGAGGAGGTAGTAGAAGCAGATATAACTAATAGTTTAAAATTCATCTTGACAGATATATGAACAGGCTGGAAATGGAAGGATACAGGCCATGTACAGCCAAAAGGTTTTTAGTAAAGAAAGGAATTATGTGTTGGTGCAAGCTTGGTGGGCCAAAGGGTTGATTCCTCTGCTGTACTGTTCTTTGTTATTTGTTACTTGTTGCTCATTTCTCTGGTCTGGGAACTTTGAGTTCTTAATTAATTTGAAGCACATTTTCTCTGCATCTCCCTCAATCCCTACTGCTCTCGTACCTTGGCTGTCTTACACCCCTTTGATTCTTTGACGTTAGTTCAGCCAGTCTACTTACTGAGAGCTTTACCTGAATTATCCCAAACCATTTGGATTCAATGGCCCCCTACAGAACCACTGCATTTTGTTCAGCTTTCTGCATCTTTATGAACTTTACTGAATAGCTTTATTTTTGGATGTCCAATTACTTGCCTCTGGGTCATCTCTTGACTTTATTTACTTTGGCAGGCTCTAGTTGACATCCTTCAATTTCTCTGGCTGCTCAGTCTCCTTCTGGCCTCCTCTGCGATGTAACAGATTCTGTGATTTTGTGAACATGGTGGAGGAGAACAGAAATACACTCCCACCTTCTCCTGACATTAGGGATAGGATAGTTCCAGTGTCTCTGAGTAAACCAATACACTTGCTCACTTTCAGTGAAGGTTGCAGGAACACTGTTCTCAGAGCAACAAAACTCCTGCAGATTTCAGGGAGTTTTGCCTGGGTGGGCCACACGTAAGGGAATTCGCTCAAGTGACTAGATTCTGCAGCAAGGGACTCTCTAGGTTCAGCTGTGTCCTTGTTGCGGTATCTCTCGGGACTGCTCGAGTGGATGCCCACCATTCCCCCTCACCTGGCTTATCGTCTAACCTCCAATAAGTAGGTCTAGGGATGCCTGTTTTCAGACAGTGGGAACACACTAGTCTCCAGGTGCTCTCTTCACACACTTGAGATGGAATACGTAAACCCTCAGATGCATGCCCTTTCCTAGGTATAGGTTCCTTCTAATCTCTCCCCTTATCATCCCACAGATTTTGGGGTGACTCTGATGTGATTGGTCTGAATTGTTAGGGTTATGTTATAAATGAGGTCATAGCTATCAGTGGTCTCCAGCTGTGAGGTCTCTGCTCCTTGAAGTGAATTCTCAGGTCACAAGGTAAGTAATATTTAAATTCCTTGAGTAATTTTAGCTCATATAATTCACCATAGGTATGCTGTATTCTTACACAGAATCTCCTCAGTCAACAATAATTCGCTTTCACCTTTCAAACTCTAGATAGCTCTGCATACATTTCTTTTCAGCAATCCTGAATTGCTGATCGTACGCCTTGTCAAATTTAATAACAATGGCAGCTTTTGTATTCTCATAAATCAATGGATATTGCAGTGGTCAGCATAAAATTGACTTCGAGTTTTCCTAGTTAACTGACCCTGAATCACAAGGGTCCACATTTCTTACGGCCATCATAAGTTCCTGCTACTTTTTCGAAAGTAGTGAAGACAGTGTCCATGTCACTCATTGCAGAGAGAGACAACTGATAGTGATTTGACATGAGGGCCACCATGCCTCAAACAAGGGGAGAGATTAAGGCGGCAAGTCCTTCATGGTAACCTCAACTGGTGTTGGGAATTGAACCCATGCTGTTGGTATCACACTTCTTCACAAACCAACCATCCAGCTTACTGAGCTAAACC